TAGTTTTTAAATGAATATATTATTGTGTAGTACATGGAGTATTTTGGTCAAAATTTTTATGTTTTGCTCAAACTTCATTATAGCTTGTTAGCTTTTTTAATTAGAGAAATTTAGTGCACTATTTTAAATTGCATCAAAGGGATATAGAAAATAGGGATGTCTCTTCCCATTAGTGAGCTGCAGAACTATGTGCAAGATTGGCTGTGGGAAAAATCACCGTGTGAAACATGAAAAATAACTATGATCACAACTCTGTGCGAGGGCATGAGCTATGTTTGAAGAAGTGCACCACAAATGCAGTTAGCAAGAAAACACATGATGTCTGATACTTAAGTTTATTATCCATTGGTTTTATTACCAATTTGATAAATTTTTCAGACAATGACACTAATGGAATATACATGAAGCATTTAGCAGTGCTCTACAATGAACCAAAGCCAACCCACTATTACTATGCTTAGCAAAGTTTTCTCATGACAAACTTCAATGTGACTGATATTAGAGTTGACTTCCTGCAACACAAAACAGTAACAAGTGGTTGATTAATCAAATAATGTGTTTCTAGATGTCCGTCTGTTCGTCCATCCGTGACCTCAAGTTTTTGTTGACGAGAAAATGCGCTCTGTCACTCACTGCAGTGAGTACTGAGTTATATTTTCTGATGTTCTCACTGGGTGACGTGCACTTGTCTCTCTTTGGATCTCAACATTTTCCCACCAGACGGCCCAGACCTAGTGTTTTGGCAATAGTATGTAGCGCAAAAGTATGACGTCACTATTTCAACCATCAACAAATGCATGGAACTAAGAAAAAGCTTAATGTAAAGGAAAAAAGTTTAGAAGTGTCAGAATTACCCACGATGTTGGAATATACCGCGTTTACCCTAGGTTAAACGCGGTATATTCCAACATCGTGGGTAATTCTGACACAGTCGACAATTCTCAGCTTTTTCCTTTATATTTAGCTTTGCCTTAGTTCCAAGCATTTGTTGATGGTTGAAATAGTGACCATACTATTGCGCACCATACTATTGCCAAAACACTAGGTCTCGGCCGTCTGGCAGGAAAATGTTGAGATGCAAAGAGAGACAGTGCACGTCAACCCAGTGAAAACATAGAAAAAAAACTTGTCAAAGTTGATAGTAGACCTTGCTCTACCAAATAGTGATTAACTGAATTTGTGTAGAAAGAATATTATGGTTTGAGACTTTTAAATACTGTAAGTCTGTGAATATATTAGGAATCATTTAAGTTTACTTGTATATGCTGATTTCAAGTGGTAAATGAATTAATAGATGATTAATTTAAGAGACCCTTTTAGACACATAAAAACTAATTCCGACACAGCTTAGAATTACACACTGCTCGTTCCAAGCTGTGTGCAAAAATTAATTTTTTCTTAATTAAAAGCTTAATAGCTCCTAATTAAAAGCCTAATTAAGTGGTGTTCATATTCAATAGTGTTCTAATTCCGAGCTGTGTTATATTCCAATACAGCTCACACAGCAATCGGAATTTGAACACAAGAGGGTTGGAATTACGAATTAGTAGAGTTTGAAGCGCCACTGGAATTAGTCTCACAAAATGCCTAATTTAATCACACACAGCGTCAGAATATATGGATTTGGTAGGTTAGCATTCTAAAGGCTTTTAAATAAGTATGTCAACAGTTTGTGACGTTTCATTGTTGCTGGTGCATAGTGCAGTGTTTTGAGAGTGACGTAAAGCAAACAGAACTTGAGTTGCGCATACGGTGATTTTTTTATAGCCATTCATTTTTTGCTACGTTCTTAATGTGTCGGAATATACCGCGTTTACCCTAGACAGTAGGCCTAGGCTATGCCAATAATGATAATGCCATGAAATAAACTTTTTATTACACTTACAAAATTATATAATTTGCATATTGTATAGGCTACTCACAAAAAAGAATGATACATAGTAGGCTAGTAGGCTAATACTCATTAGCTCAAAGAAAAACTACTGTGAAATTGTCTTTTTCACTTTTTAGTCTAATATTTGTGCATTTTTGCCAAACCTTACTTAACATTGGAAGTGAGAATACCCAAAAAGCTATTGTCTAACATTATTGTCTAGCAACACTTCTCAACTTTTTCCTTTATATTAAGCTTTTTCTTAGTTCCACGCATTTGTTGATGGTTGAAATATTGACGTCATACTATTGCGCGCCATACTGTTGCCAAAACTCTAGGTCTGGGCCGACTGGCGGGAAAATGTTAAGATCCAAAATGAGACAGTGCACATCACCCAGTGAGAACATCGAAAAACATGTCAAAGTTGATAGTTGACCTTGCTCTACCATACTACCATACTATTGCCTTAAGATTTTTAAATAAGTTGTGAATATATTAGGAATCCTTTAAGTATACTTGTATTTGCTGATTTAAAGTGGTAAATATATTAATAGATGATTAAGCTAAGCGATGGTTTTAGACACATGAAAACTAATTCCAACACAGCTTGGAATTAGACACACCCCGCTTGTTCTGAGCTGTGTCCAAATATTAAAATTTTCTTGATTAAAAGCCTAATAGCTCCTAATTAAAAACTTAATTAAAAAATTACAATTTTTTAATTAAGCTCATTCCGAGCTGTATCATATTCTGATACAGCTCACACAGGGTGTCAGAATTCCAACACAGGGTGCCGGAATTACAAATTAATAGAGTTTTAAGTGCAGCCGGAATTAGTCTCACAATATGCTGAAATTAGTCACACACAGCGTCGGAATTCAGGGATTTTGTAGTTTTGAATTCTGAAGGCTTTTAAATAAATATGGCAACAGTTTGTGATGTTTCATTGTTGCTTGTGTGTAGTGTGGTGTTTTAGAGTGACGTAAACCAATCAGAACTCGAGTTGCGCATACGGTGATATTTTTATAGCCGTTCATTTCTTGCTATGCCCTTAATGTGTCGGAATATACCGCGTTTACCCTAGTTTACTGCTGTGTTTTGTTAACTGACAAAGACCATGTACTGGTACAACACTTTTTTCCTCATTTTTCTGACATTTGCAAAATACAGCCATGCATGTAAACAAAAGAATATTCTTTTATAAAGAATAAAGAATAGTATAAAGAAGAGGGGCTTTCAGACTGAAGTTACTGAAGTATGCCACAACTGCACAACATAATGTGTAATAATGACTTCAGAGTCTCCTTTGTATCAGGATTAGAATTTTCCTACTTGTTTCTGAAATCTCTCGGCTTCAACGTGACAAATTTTTTATACATTTGGAATCTTGTGGCTGGATCATGCATTTTTTCAACAATTAGTACCTATATAAGAGGTAATTCATCTGGCAGAAATCTTGCGGTTCTGGAAATGGCAGGAAAGCTCCAGTCGCGGTCCTAAGGTTAGAAGTTTTCCATGCTTGCCTTGTATCAGGCATCAAATATATCTGCTTAGCAAACCGTGACTGAATTTTTTAAGCTGTGGTTTTATAGATTTGCCAGCTGTGATTCTATTTCTTCAAGCCGCGAATTATATATCTTGGTCATGAAAAGCCATTTAAGAGCCGGGAACTTGTTTACAAAATCCATGCAAGTGTTGCCTCAAATCTCTAATTTTATCCTAAAAACCGTCAAACTGCAAAACTGACTTTTGTCTTCACTTAAGTGGCAACTGAACACTGATAATGCAGTCTGACCGCTCTGATGTGACCACATCAATGCAATCTTCAAGGAAACTTTTTGGGTTGACATGTTGTTATTACATTCTGCAGGATATTTTGGCCGAAGCATTAAAGTAATGCAGATTGTGTCATCATTGCGGAAGTTGAAAATTTTATGAAACGACATGTTTGCAAAGTGCAAACTCCAATTTTTTCAATCAATTAAAAGTACATGCTATTAGAGCCACAATATTTCAGAAAAAATAGGACTTTTCCAGCCCTGCCTTATATCCCAGCTAATATTTTTGAACCTTGCAAGGGGCCCAGATTGTAAAATAATCTCTAAACCAAAATTTCTACTATCACTGCCACATAAGTCCCCACTCAGCAGAAATTGCACATACCTTGCCACTCATCACTAAAAACTATATAATACTGGTCGGACTACAATTTCTAAGGTTCGATAACCACACAATGACAACGAGGCTGTTTAGATCATGATGGAAAGCAGTGGTTCAACTTTATTTGGAAAAAAATCTTTTCTAATGAAGGCTGGCAACTATAGTGCAGTGCTGCTGGCCAGGTTATTGGTATTGACGATAGAATTTCATCCTCCTCCAAAATTTGTTGGCAGAAATACTTGCTTATTTATAATCAAGATCTTGATTGTATCACTCCGGTTTTTTTCAAATGCTGATGCTATTTACACAATGGAATATATGTTTTGTTAGAATTATTTGGCACAGAACATCCACATGAACACAATTTCTAATATTTTAACCATTAAATTATGGCACACACAATGCATCTTCATTTTAAAAATTTAGGGGAGGTAATGTTTGAAAGGTACACATTGCTTATGAATCAGAAGATCTACAATTGAACCAAAATCTTTTGATTTTCTAATTGTTGATGAAGACTTATTGTAGTAAGCCCTTGCCATAATGCTGAGTCCAGATTGACAGCTAAGATGATGCTGATTTTGGGTGTATCAATTGATAGTGCACAAATCTCAATTACACTTACATTAATGTAGGTGGGACAAAGTTGTTAAACATGTTGTGCAGTGAACATATTGATGAGTAAGACAGGCATTAACGCTCATGTGGCACATTATGCTGCGAGTACGTATAAGCCAAATATTAGAGTAGTGAATGACTTTGAATGTCTTGCTATAATTTTGAAACCCACTGCATTTTCCCAGCTATGGCTTGATAATAATTTTAGTGCAAGATTTTAGTAAAAAATGGTCTTTGAAGATTGTTGAATAGATATTGAATTTATTATAATTTTTTTCTAACTGTTAGGCCACTTGAGATATCTTGGAGCTTAATCTTCATTTGATTGTAATCTTTTTTTTTTCAAAAGGTTATAAATGGAGAGCAAGGCGAGTTGGATATAGACTTCTTCCTTTACGGACATGCAGGAAACTTATTGAAGAGTGAGAGAAGATCATCTGACAACTTGCACAAGTAAGCTTTTTATGGTTGATGAATAAAATTAATTCTAATTTAAATTTGAACTGCTCCCCTGACCTTTACCAGTTTTCAGTATTTATCGCTTTTAACTCACCTTCCTCTAAGTTGAAATAATATGAATTTAAATCCTGTTTTTTTATGTGTAGGTATATCTAAATAATAAATAATTATCCTAAAATGATGGCTTTATAAACCTGTTATTTGTTATATGTTCATTATGTATGATGATTTCAAAATTTTGATGAAATCGTAAAAATTAAGTAGCTGTTACACATTAAAAGTTTTATTATATAGGTAATATATGGAAACTTGATTGAGTAATAAATTTTTGTTTAAATCAATATATGCTAGATTTGTCTTTCTTAATGCCTGGAGATTAGATTATCAAATATATGATAACGGCTTGCTTGAGTACTTAGGTGCTGACATATTGGTTGTATGTAGCACATGAAGTACATGAACCTAGTACCTTAATAGACTAAATATTTACCTAACCATCTGCTTAGATTGAATTCTCATTAAATTTCTTAGATTGGTGCTACCTACCTACAATATGTATAAATGATAGATGAGGTTGCTGTATAATTTTATTTAGAACTGAGTACGTAATGGTATGCCACAATAATGAACCTTATGTTCAAAGCTTACTGAATCAATTCTTGCAGAATAACTTTAACAGAACAAGGAGACTACAAGTTCTGCTTTGACAACACCTTCTCTCGGTTCTCTGCCAAAACCGTGTTTTTCACCTTCATGCTCACCAACCTTAATGACCCTGGCCCTGTGGATGAATGGGGTAATCAAATGCCTTTTCTGCAGGACGAAGATATCTATGAAATGAAAATTGAGGATATTAAGGTAAGTGTGTTAGGTATATAATGTCTTGGGCAATACCACCTCATGATTTTTCAAGATTTGACATTTAAATATTCACTTCATTTTAAAGTACTGGTACTTTCTGATGTAGTATTTTTCTTTTGAAGCTGTAGCTACACATTGAAGTGGTACGTACTTGCTTTTTCAGTTGCATCCTTGATCTCTAATTTAAATAATGAGATGTCTATCTACTTAATTTATTATGCAAGTCGACCTGGCAGAATATTGTGGCACCCTAGAAGTTTATGTTAATCTGTTCCATGAGGAATTTCACCTATTGACAAATTGCTTTAAATTGTATAAAATAGTGCAAATCCTAAAGTTAAAGAGCAGAGTCTAACAGCAGAGTGCAACGTTACTTGAATAATGCCAATTAGCAGCAATCTAGAAATTAGAACAAGCGTCATTTTTAGCACATTTTCTCATTTATGGAAAGAAAAGGCGCTACTGTGCTGAGTGTGCTCGTCATGTCCGTTCCATTTGTCTGTGACTTTACATTTTTGTCAATTTTGAGAAAATGCGCTATCTGTCACTCACTGCAGTTAGTACTGAGTTATATTTTTTAATACAAGTAGCCCGGATACAAGTTTGTTGAAATTTGGCAACCACTTGCATCTATGTCAAGTTCCAATATTCATACAGTCAAACTGTGTGGGTTTTACTGCTTTGAGAAGCTGCACTGTGCAAAATATGGGCTATTGTTGCAAAGCTGTTTGTGCTAGACTCAAAGCTAATTATAATAATGTTTCAGGATGCCGTGGACCGCATCAGATCTCACATCACCAAAGCTCGGATGGTGCAAGATTCCATCAGTGCCCATGAGGCGCGTGACAGAAACATTGCTGAGAACAACTATACTCGCATCAACAACTTCTCATGCATCAGTGTCATCATCATGATCACGACGGCCATTATTCAGGTACCTGGCTATAAGTTGAAGAACTTTTCACATTGTTTCACTGGGTTTGGAGCTCTTAAGGGGAGCGTCTGGGGTAAAAGTCGAAATTTTTGGCTTTTCCGGTTTTTATGCTCATCTTAAAGCTTACTTTCTGCCGCATCGAACGGTACTAGAATTTTTCTGTACATTGATTTATGCATTCACGACAGATCCCGAAAGGGGGGAGGGTGGTGGGGTCCCTTCACAAAATCCTATGGAGATAATTACGGCTAAGCTCTATAAATGTGCTGTCGTTGGACCTACAGCTCAGTTACCTGACAGATATCATGCGGAGAGGTGTTGATAAAGTTGTCCTCTGCACTGCTGACTGACTTTGAAGTAAGCTAACGCTTACTTTCAGTATTTAAGCTACATTACATGCCTTTACATGGCGCGCCACGGTTTTCCGCCTCTACTGAACAATTTGAAAACATGAAAACCTCTCTCACGCCAAACCTATCTCGTCCCACAGTTTTGAAGCTACATCAATTAGACATATACCATTCAATTTGCAAAGAAAAGATCTACAAATCGCTGGTTGGTTGCGTTTTTCTAATTTTGTTATAGTTTGGATTTTATTTTGCAAAAAGGGGAATGTGGGGGGGGTAAAATTGAAAAATTTCCGAACAATTTACAAAAATGCCCCCAGGCCCACAAAAATGAGAAATTCAAAAAATGCGTACAGCAAATTATAGGTATAGTCTTTACGCATCGAATGATATGTGTCTTGATGTTGTAGCTTGAAAATCCTAGGAGGAGATAGATTTCTACAGTACCCCCTTTTTTGGCCGTTTTCTAAAAATTTCACGTTTTCTTTCATTTTTCGAAAAATTCACACGAACAAAAATATCTTAGAATTCTGTTTTACATATGCGTACCAAGTTTCAGAGTGATCGGTCTGTAAATAGCCGAGATAAATTTAATCCCAGACGCTCCCCTTAAGTTCTCGCTTGAATTGTGTTGTTTATAATTCAACTAGCAGATTAGCCCTGGGTGGCTGGAGCTTTACATTTACTACAATTTTGGAATCCCATTCATACCCATAATTTAAAAGCCCGTTAATAACAAAATTTATTTATTCTAATTGATAGACTCCCTCAAACCCAAATTTTACATACCTAGAAATATGATTCTCCTTTTACTCTCCTGTATAAATATTTAAAAACTTTATTTTGTCTTTACAGTGAAATCATATTTGCCAATTAAAATCAATGAAATTAAAATATTTGATCCATTCCTTTCTTTCGTTTACTCAAATCCTTTCTTATCTTCCACAATAATATCCCTGATACACGTCCCAAATGCCCCTGTATATTTGGTTATCAAAACAACTGCCCCTGTAGTGACTGGTTTCGAACACACCAACCCATCCATACCCACACAATCTTCAAAACAAATTTATATAAGATTATATATCTAGGTTTGGATGACAATGGTAATAGTATGCCAACATACAGTACTTCTCGGAATCAGTTTAGGATTTCAATCTTTCATATATTTTTGATGTATTAGTTATATAAATATAATGTTGGGCAGTTTCATAGTACCTATTCCTCATGGGTAGCTTTGGATCAAAATTAAACACTGAGACAATTTACGAGCTTGTATTTCTAGAGATGCACTAAGTTTCTCCTGATTCTAGAAATGCACAAAATTTCTATTAATTTTAGAAATGCACAAAGTTTCTCCTAATTCTAAAAATGCACAAAGTTTCTCCTTATTCTAGAAATGCTCAAGTTTCTCCTTATTCTAGAAATGCTCAAGTTTCTCCCGATTCTAGAAATGCTCAAGTTTCTCCTGATTCTAGAAATGCTCAAGTTTCTCCTGATTCTAGAAATGCACCAAATTTCTCCTGATTCTAGAAATTCACAGATTTTCTCCTGATTTTATAAATGCACAAAGTGTCTCCTGATTCTAGAAATTCACAGATTTTCTCCTGATTCTAGAAATGCTCAAGTTTCTCCTGATTCTAGACATGCACCAAGTTTCTTCTAATTCTAGAAACTCACAAATTTTCTCCTGATTTTATAAATGCACAAAGTGTCTCCTGATTAAAGAAATGCACCAAGTTTCTCCTGATTCTATGTAGAAATGCACCGAGGTTCTGTTATGGCCACTGCAGCCCACAAATCCTTGATCTCTTGATTTTATTGTTTATTGATGCTGCTAATTGATATTTTATTCTTGCACAGATATTTTTTTAATGCTGAGAGTGACGCTAAAGTTTTTTCTGTTACAGGTTGTGTTACTCCGGAGTCTCTTCGACGAGCGAAGCAAACTCCACAAACTCTGGAAAAAGGATAGACCAAAATTTTGATTGGGCTTCTTAGGGTCAAATTATTTAGATTTTTTCTCTACAAGTCAGATTATGTTAGGATTTTTCACACTGCCAACAAGATGCATTAGCTGTAGACTTATCTTACTCATCCTAGATTTGTCAAAAATTGATCGTGGCAAACGGCAACCTCTGCTCCTTTTTAATTGTATTCTTTTTAATTTTCTATCAAAAAGTACTAACTTGTAACTTGTTTTCCGATTGTAAACAAAATTTATTAGTGAAAAATTCTTATTATGTAATTTAAACGATATTCCCTATTAAAGTTTTTACTTTTAAGCGAAAATGGCGGTTTGTGTCAATGGTGAGCACAATAGCTAGAAAATGCTTATCTGCCATGACAGTCATTTGAAATTCCAAAGGCATTACCTATATTCCCACCTTAATTTTAGAAGGAAGCAGCATATTTTTTCTGATTAAGGATCAATTTAAAGTTATTTGTGAGGCTTACTTTTACCGTAAACGTTGAGCTCTTATTGGCGCAGTTGATTTACGATTAATATCAATTATTAAATTTCATAATCGGTGCCTAGACGCCTTTTTTTTCTCGTGTGTACTCTGAATTTTTCTCATCCTAATATGACGTTACTAAAGTCAAGTTGTAATGTAAAATCTAGTAATTTATTGTATATTTGCACGCAGTTTTATATCTCTCATACCGGTACAAGCCTCGATTTTATCGTTTCTAGTCTTCACGCATACATAATTCAGACCTATTCTTTTTCACCAATGATCCCATTGGACATTTTTGTCACTCATGAACTCTCTTAAAGCCCGATCTTGTAATTTTTATTTATACATGCACATTCCTACCTTACTAACTATTCAATGTACAGTAGAATCATGTATCCTAATCTGCAAAAATAGTTATTAGTTGTATTGAACCCAAAAGAATTTTTCCCTAATTCTGCTGTGAAGAAGTTCCGTCTAGTTCAATTCATGGCCATTTTGTCAGAATTATCTCGTGGGCATTGTATACCATTTCTTTGTGATGGATATTAACTAAAGAGTATTGACTACCACGTTTTTATGCGCAAATGGAGTATTATAAGTGACCTGTAGTTCTCGATGATAGTTGAGTAACGTGTTTATAATACTATTGGTGAGAACAGTTAGTAGGTGTGAAACTTTTTCTCACCAATGTCCATAGGTAGCACTAACAGTTTGATGAGGAAGTGTAAAACAAAATTACATATGCTAACGGGATCAATTTCCCTTCTCGTCTTGGCATGTATTATAGTCTATAATATTTTGAGGCAGTGTTTGCTAGTCGAAAGTCTCAGCGCGTACTTTGTTGGACTCCTGTTCTTCTGGTGTGATCGTTTAGAATTTAAAAGCAGAGAAAACGCCATGTAAATTCACCATATCTCTATAGAAAACGTTACGGAGACCAGCTATATCTTAAGCTCGCAAAATGTAGAGAACATGGTAAATTGACTGGGCGTATACTTGGCTTATAAACTCTAGTTTTTCTTACTTGAATCACGTTTTGACTTTTATACGTTTCATACTTGATATCACGTGTAGCGTTTCATACTTGATATCACGTTTAACGTTTCAGACTTCATACAAGCCGACTCTAGTGAGCAACGAATGTTCCTGATTTATGAAGTTTATGATGATCAAGATCTTCTGACTCGCGCAATTTTTTTGCTATTAATTGTTTGATTTTATCTATTTTCCTGTGGTGAGACAAATACAAATTTTATTATGATTTAATGTAGACGGAAGTAACAATTTAGCATATATAGAGTAAATGTAGATATTTTGCCTAACTCGAATAAATTCTTGTAAACACACAAAACTCTTTATTTAAATTAAAATTTGATATCATTTTTCAAATTTGATTTCATGCTGAATTCATATTTTACCAGATCTCAACAAGTTACTCCTAAATACTGGCGAATTTTTCCCATCACAACATGAGTGAAAAAGCAGCTACTGATCTAAGGCCATCACTAGTACACTGGTTCTAGTTTAAAAAACTAGAACACTAGTCTGTCTCATTACGAGCTTTGTATACTAGAACGAGTTGTAGTTTGTTATTCTTTGAAATGCCAGTTGTAATAGGGTCTCTTTTGCATTAAAAATGTCTCTCTTATACCATTGCATTGTGGGTTACCATTAATATTATGTAATTGGTATGTGTTCACTGCAAGATATCGAGCTACAATGAGTCTTAAATACATTTGTCAACGTCGACTAAGAACCTCGTACGAAGCCAGTGCTTCAACAAAAATTTGTCTATTTTATGTGCCATCATTAGCAAGGTGATTTTTTAGCGCATTTTCTCATTTATGGAAAAAATAAGCTATTGGGCTCGTCATGTCCGTCCGTCTGTCTGTTCGTGACTCCACGGACGGACGGACGAGAAAATGCGCTCTCTGTCACTCACTGCAGTGAGTACTGAGTTAAATTTTTTGGTTTTTGTTTGATGTGCTAGGGGTTATTTGAGCGTAGAATTTTAAGTTAGTTTCAGCTATTTATTCCTTAGCTTTTTACTTGAATTTCTTAACATGTTACTTGTGTTGGTCAGAATATTCGTGCAAGTACTCTATTTTTTCTATTACAGTGTGCTGATTTCTGACTTAAATTTGGACGATTTGTTTGCTTTATATTCCGATTAGATTACATTAAAATTTTAACTCCAACTATGGGTTTGGAGCATTCAAGTTGGTTCATGACACAATGTTTATTACACGAGTCATTGCCTCTCTTTTCCTTTGTGATCAGCCTTTTGAAACATTATTAATAAGCCAATAGTTATTCTATCGGCTAGGATATATATATTCTTTTAGAATTTGTTCATGACAAGTACGATTTCCTTGTAAAGAAATTTTCCTTTGAAATTTGTGCTAGTAAATTAAATTCAAGATCCGTAATAAAAAGAGGCGAGTGTGTGGACTGAGGTTGTTTAGCAATAATTCATGAACCACGAATTTTTGTGGTTCGAACCACGAAGACTAATTTTTGTGTCTATCCAAACCAAACCTAGCCAGTTTATTGTAATCAATTCTGCGTGTGTTCCTGGTCAAGTAAACTAATCTATTTTACTGGTATGTATGACTCTCCTATCTATGACAAATATTGACAATTAGTTGTATGTTTTAACACAAACGTTGTTTTGATCATGGAACCTCGATTTAATAATTTTTAGAAGAAAATTTCGAGGATATTCTGATTAATCTTCGCTAATCTTTAGGTAATACTGTAGGTAAGGTAATAAGTAATTTGTAATATTACGGATTGGGTATAAAATACCTTCGTGTTTGTAAGTTGATTATAAAAGATTGTGAGCCTACAAACACCTGGTGTAACTATTCAAATTAAATTACATCAATAAACTGGCAGGCAAGCCTCACGTTGTCTGGAAAAGTAACTCGTGCAAAGTTGTTATCCCGTACGGCCGAATGTCGTTGACAACAAAATAACAAGTTAGAGTTTACATATATTTTTTAAATGCACAAGACGCACAACAAAGAAAATTAATTGAATAGCATTTCGCATATTTGAACAGCAGGTCACCGTATTAGCTATCTAATCTAGTCCTAGTGCCTCACTCGGTGTCTTCGACAAGTAATTATTTCCAGATCTCCAAATATTTATATATAAAGTGGATACGCGATATCTCCCACATTTATTATTGTGGCAGAGTAAAGTAGTATCGGCGTTGAAGAATGGTCCAAATCTAGCCTGTCGCCGATTTCTGAAGACTAGCCTTTTGTCGATTGGTCAGTTAGCCAGATGGTTTTGATAATAGCTATCCTGCTTAGTCTTGCGTACGGAAGTTTTGATAATGCCAAAATTAGGGTGAACTTACGTAACTCGTATCTTCTTGAGTTCTTGTACGTACGTATAAAAAGATACATAGTTTTTATAATCCGGCCCCAGATCTATCGAAAACTGACGTTGAAGCTAAGTAGATGCTGAAGGTCCACCATTTGTGGGGTGGGAAGCACTTCTAGGCGAATCATAAACCTCGGCATAACTTCTTATCTAGCCTGTTCTTGAAAACTGAGGTTCCTGTATGTAACATAACATAGTGATGTCGGCGCTGAAGTGTAGGCCTGATGTGGCCTGTCGCCGATTCTTTTCCTTTTCGTGCCTTGTTCATAGATCTAAAATCGTGTCATTTGACCGGATCTTTTCATGACTGACGATAGTTTGAAAGTAGCTACTAGACTTCCACCGGGTTCGATATGGTGCTAGGCATTTCAAATCTGAACATATATTTTTCCATAGCTTTATCTAGTCTGTTCTTGAACGCGTTCATACTTGGAGCGCCAAGGATGTCATCGGGGAGGCTGTTCCACATGTCGGTGATTCGAAGCGAGAAAGCTTTAATAATTGTGCATGCAGTCATACACATAAAATGCATCCTTTTTGACGAACGTACAACAAAAGGTGCCGTAATCAAGAAGAAATATGACTGATTTTTTATGAAGAGTTAAGGAACAGAGATGGCTACATTATGGAAGCTTCAACAGCTTTGCTGTGTGTGGCACCGAGATTTTCTGCCGCTGTCATTCATGACATCGCTCGCTCACGCATGTCTTTGGCGGAGCATTGCTGACGTTCATTACTGAAGTTTATTAGCTGGCGATACAAGCTAATATCGAAGATCATTTTCATAACAAGTTACCAACAGGGAAAAATGACTAATGAAGTTGACCATTGAAGAATAATAGAGACGAGAAAATTTTGCTGAATCATATTTGAATTGCAATCATATGCTATCCGTCGTGTTTCCTATATGGATCAATTATAATTGACTAATTTAAACCAGTCAGATTCTGCCCAGCGAAAAAAGTAAGATGAGAAAAAAAATGTTCGCCCCACTTGCAGTTTGCGCCTGTGTTATATTTATTCAGTATTTTCCAGACAGAATGCTCCAAAATCCGCCTAATTTCTTATATTTTTATGTTTTTTGGTTACAATTTAAAGTTGAATCCCCGCTTCATACCCTACTTATTATGAGATAAATTTTGGATATTTTAATTTTAGTACATATTTATGTGAGATGATTCGTCTCAATAAAAAAACTGAATATAATACGATATTAACTACAGTGGGGGGAAATAAATATTCGTACACTTGAAAAATCGTATTTTAATGTATGTAAGTACACAAACTTAACAGGAAAAGTGATTTAAATTAAAATTTCCAACATCTGCACCACTGCCTCAAATCAGTGAGTCAGAGTCAACATTAAACGTATTTATAAGCGGTCCAATTTTGCTCAGCGACATCAGTTGTGTGCTTTACTCGTCAAGATGCGTTTCCTGGTGAGTGGTAGTTCACTTCTATGAAGATCTTTGATGTTTGCTGTTGCTCATAGACACTGATTATCGTCTATAAACTTTTTTAATAATGTAGAGTGTTGTAGAAAATATATTTCGTATGCTTAGCAATGATTAACAATTCCGATTTCATTTAAGCGGTGACATTTTCATTTCCAGGTTGCTCTTCTTCTCGTGGCCATTGTTGCCGCTGTTGTGGCCACGCCTGTCCTCGGTCGCCCCGACGGCGGTGATGTCGACCCAGTCACTGACGACGGTGGTGATGTTGACCCAGTCACTGGTCTGGTGAGCTGCCTGGTGTTCAACCTTGGTGTTGATAACGTGTTGGCGGTCATCGATGATTTAAATGTTGGCCGCTAGCTCCAGGGTTTTTCACCTTCTACAAGTTTGGCTGAATGTTGGAAAAACTACCCAGAGGAATACTGCCCATATTGCCCCATCACTTTTATGCACTAAGTGGCTAATCCTACGCAAGCAGGCAACCTCAACTGTGCAGACGGATGATGGTTAATTTGTTTGACTATCAATTATCTTATTTTTATTCATGGTTTAATAAAATTCTGAATTTAAATTGCCTAACTAATAAGATTTTGTCCTGCGTTCCTCAATGTTATTCCACGTAATTATATGACGACATCTCAGATGTTCTCAATAAACGTAGCAACACATTCAAAACTGATTATTTAAGCTGTAATAATAAAGTTTCAATAAAATTGCCAATTCAATTCTTTCTCACATGAAACCATTCCCATGTACAGTAGTGTAGGTTGCATCTTATATATCCTGAGCGTCTGATTTTTCCTATAAATGTTTTAAATGTAAACGCCTCGCCGTTGGTCATATACCATCAACTCTCGGTGCTGACTACTTCATATATCATTATGAGACTGGAACCAATTTGGTGAAGATGGATGAAGATTATTAGTGGGCGTACGGTTGCTGGTCATTGAACGAAACCGTTTTAAATATTGTGATGTCAATCGTAAGCAGCACAGTTTGAACTAATACATATTTTTAAAATAGCGTATATCCAACGTTTTACTCGCTACTCGTGAATGTAAATATTTTAAAACCTCATATTATCTGATAATAATTTTTGTTTCCAAAAAAGGGTTGCGTTCTTCAAAAATCTGTAACACGTATATCGATGAAAAAATTGTTCAATTTAATGTTTTTTTGTTTGATCGTTCCTGAATAATAGAATAACGTTCTTTTCGTTCATGGTAGAGTTTGATTTTTAGAATTATACTTCGTTCAAATTGCATCCATTTTCAATAATATTATGATCGAGAATCAGGACGAACAACTTTTATGAAAGCGGTTCCAAGAATTTTTTTCGTATTTGTTCTACGGCGCAAGATAAATGGAGATTCTCAGTACACCTCATAAGCAATTTGTATGTGAATGACTTCGTCGAATGAGATCTGAGTGATTTTAACACACTGATGTGTGATTTTGCCTTCCGTATTTAGTTATCTTCTCCCAAATTTGAAACTCTCGCGGGCTGCACATCGTCCGTACGCGGTTATGTCATTTATCAACATGCAACCTCCAAGTCAGGTCATTTATCTCCAAGAAAACCGACTAATTTTATCAATTTTTATTCAACTGAAAAACACTTTTAATACAGTCTTGCTGCAAGTTTTCTGTGCGTTTTCAGATATGGATAACATCGAAATGGAACCCTCGACGGAATTTTCCTAGCCGACACTTAATTATTATTATTTTTTTATTACCTGAGTTTCTCACAGCATAAGTGACGTGATATAAGGTGTTGTATTGTATTTATAAAAACATCAATGAAAGTGATGTGAACGGCACGACAGGAGACAAAACAATAGAACATGACAGTTACTTGCTATAGAAATTTAAAAAAAAATCAAGCATAAATTAGTCGAAAATACATTGATTGATGTTTCGATCATATTACATCATAGGCACCAACATATAGAAATTTATGTTCTAAACCCCAAAAAGAAGACACTAAACTTTATTCATCAGCAGGATGATATAATCTATCGAAAGCAACTTTGATTATGCAGTGTATATCACTAGTTAATATAGATTTTCTTTTTAGCGCATTTTTTCATTGATGGAAAAAAGGCCCTATTATGTTCGTCATGTTCGTCCGTCTGTTTATTCGTTTGCCTGTCCGTGACTTCACGGACGGACGAGAAAATACGCTCTCTGTCACTCACTGCAGTGAGTACTGATCTAAATATTTTTTTAATTTATATGCCATGTCTTCAACTTCGAAAATGCAATTAGAAAAAAGTTTCTGAAGAGTTTTAAGTACTTTTCTAAAATTTTGACCAAAAAAATAAATTAATATATGTGCCAACAAAATTGAATTCAACATAAATAATGGTCACATATGATCATGTCGCTCCGGCGAAACGTATATGGAGCAGACTCATATAATGCAGAATCAAGTTGCAAGTTCTAATGTTTTCAATTGACGCATCAAATTTAGTGGAACAACATATAAATATTCAAATATATTGCAATATAAATGTTTGTGAATATTAAATTTATTTGGACAACTCATTTGTTTTAATGAGTTTACTACGTACGATTCTTTTCCTTTGATTTCCTAACGTTATTGATTTCCTTTTTTAACGTTTGATCTTTTCCTAACGTTTTTGATTTCCTAACGTTCTGATTTGTAGGGACATTTGATGATTGCACGTGATTGATTTTTTATAGAGATTTGATTTTTTTACGTGAATATTGATTGATTGATTATTGATTGATTAATATTGATTTTTTTACGTGAATATTATTCTAAACATGGATTTAAACGTCTATGAATTCAATACTGTTAATTTTTTTATTCAAGTAGATTTTTTAGTGAGTCGTATTACGTTTATACATTTTTACCGTAGCAAAATATTTATTGCGTAATTATTGAAGTCATAATAAGTATGGTAATGTAAATTAGTGGGGATTGGATTCCAAAAATGAACACAAAAAGAAAAAAACACATACCTTAAAATTTACATAAGCAAGTTTAATTTAATTTATACTTTCTATCTTGAAAAAAATCACAATTATAATACAATTAAAAGCGCGAGCTGCAACTGGGGTGGACTTCCAATTTTCTTTTTTATGAATTTTATTTATGAATGAAATAAGACTTGCTCCTACGATTGTAACTCGTATGGGATTCAGCCAAACTATAAGATTACCACTGAAGAAATTGCCGGTCTACAACTGCGTAATTATTAATGATTAATATTTATACTGTTAAGCATTCATAATAGATCTGAAAGAAAAAAACATCTATGTCTACTTAATCATTAAAATGAATTATTATTTATTATATAAAATTATTTACGCTATTGTAGTGTTGAGAACTTGAGAATCCATGACATTTCTGATGTTTGAAAATTATCAAAATTTCGTTATTATTACTTTAAATTTAAGCTTAGCAACACCTACGAATTTGTATGGCATTACTGGTATCACAAAACAAATACCTATACAATATTTGACATTAATATAGGATTAATTTCCAATTTTGTTTGTGCTTGTATAACTTTTCCTGTATAAATTTTTTAAAATATTAAAACACTACTTATGAAGCCATTTTCCAACTGTATTTATAAAGTTGAGGCCATAACATGACAAATTTGAATGAAAAAACTATGTTAACTATGTTATAATCTTTAGCCATCCTGATGATGACTAAAATTTGGTGTTGTCTTCTCGGTTGTAGTTTGGAACTGAAATTTCAATATTGTGGTACATATAAGACTCTTAGATCGAAGCATCAATCTATTTATTTCCCATTAAATTATGACTTACTATTTGACGCTTCTTTAGAAAGTACCTAACTGCCCTGTTCTGTTCTCCGTGTCCTGTCGTGCCTGTCATTCATGTACCTTGAAATGCAATCCAGCACATCACAACACTTTTGCTTTGAGAAACTTAGGTAAATGTCGGCTAAGAAAATCCTGTCGAGGTTTCCATTTCAAGGCTGTCTCTATCGGAAAACACACATATGACTTGCAGGAAAGCTGTACCGAAAGTGTTTTTTAATTCAACGTAACGAATAGCGAGCGTCATATAATGAAGAGTAAGTTGACTCGTGTTGGTTGTTTCCTCGCTTATGTCGTCGGTCATTGCTTAGAATTTCTGCAGCACGAGCATGACTTTGTTGAGTGTAGTATTAAGGTCTTGAAAATTAGGAAAATAAGTAGTTCATGCATGAATCACGCACGAAGAACACAGATAGATCGATCGTGAAAGATGAATTTTAGAAATGAAGCATTGCATCGGCTACCGCGGTCAGAACCGAAAATTAAGGCCTTCAATGAAGAACAGACTGTAGCATAGCTCCAGAGAGTTTTAAATTTGGGGGAAAATTAATAAATTTGGAGGACAAAATCACACATCATGTACTTAAAAGCGCACAGATCTCATTCGGCGGACTCATTCATATGCAAATTGCTTATGAAATGTACTTCTTTCATTTATCTCGCGCCGCAGAACAACTTTAAAAAATACATTTATCTAGCGCCGCCTACACTACATGAGAAGGATTTCAAATGAAAAAGAATTGCATTGAAAATTTTATTGAAATCTTATTATTGAAGCTTAAAGAATCAGTTTTATATTTGTTTTTATGTTTATTGAGAACATTTGATAAACGGCTTAATAAATAAACTATACGGCTCAATAAATAATTTACTTAACAGCTTTCTATTGATTTTTCGATTTAGTAATCGCTATCGAAAAAATGAATCATATAATTACGTGCATGGATTAACAATGAGGAACGCATGACAACATGCCGTTGGTTAGTCAATTTAAATTAAAATGTTTATAAAATCATGACTAAAAATAAGGTAGTTGTTGACCAATCAAAGTAGCCATCATCCGTCTGTTAAGGTGAGGCTGCATGCCTGCCTAAGATTAGCCTCTTCGTGCCTATTGCCAGAATATTTTCCGCTGTGAGAATGAGAAATGTTCTCAAACTTTTTATTTCAATCGAAATTCCGTTAGCAAGTTCTGTTTATCTTACATGGAGGCACCCAAATAAATCTTGAGCTAGCGTTCCGCTCCTCGATGACCGCCAACATGTTATCAACACCGAGGTTGTACACCAGGCACCCCACCACACCAGTGACTGGGTCAACATCGTCACCGCCGTCGGGGCGACCGAGGACAGGCGTGGCCACAACAGCGGCAACAATGGCCACGAGAAGAAGAGCAACCTGGAAATGAAAATGTCACCGCTTAAATGAAATCGGAATTGTTAATCCTTGCTAGGCATACGAAGCAGATTGTCTACAACAATCTACATTTTGGAAAAGGTTATAGATGATAATCAGTGTCTATGAGCAACAGTAAACATCAAAGATCTTCATAGAAGTGAACTATCACTCACCAGGAAACGCATCTTGACGAGTAAAGCACACGACTGATGTCGCTGAGCAAAATTGGACCGCTTATAAATACGTTTAATGTTGACTCTGACTCACTGATTTGAGGCAGTGGTGCAGATGTTGGAAATTTGATCTGGACTCCGGCCATCGTGCGCCATGCGGCCGGTGGATATGTTTTGCACATGTCCATTTACTGTCCTGTAAGCTACACTGGCTAGGTGTGTATATTTGTGTGAAGTTATTCAAGATAAATTATTATTTGTACGTGTTTTCCGTTTTATAATTTATTCAGTGCACATATATTGTTTTGTTATGTACATATTGATCCGCATATTTTAGATTGCATTCGATCCCATTAGTATTTGCCTCTATTCATTTCATTTTTGGTTATTTCTTACCAGGAGTATGGATCTTGACTTCGAAGCAATAATATATTTCGAAGGCTGTTAATACATCTTCCTAATGCAAACATGATTAAGCGACACTGTATTATCCCGCATATTAAGTCAGCTGTAGGCCGGCTGATATAACCTGGGATGAATCATCAACGCCCGAGCTTTTGAACATTTGACGTGATATTGAGGTGTCGCTAATGATGTATAGAAGGTGTCAGTAATGATGTATATAATGATGCACAGACACAGCCTGAGTGATCAGTACTTGAATTTTATGTTTGAGTTTCCTGACAGAAACTAAACATGATTAGACGCACGTAAATATCATACTTACAATTTGAGAAGTTTTGCTATCACATCTCGTATAGTGAGGCCGTGTGCACA